AATGTTCTGATGAGACCTCCTTTTGAGCCGTTAGCAACGATAGAATTATCATATCTTTCCTGGAAAGTGGCCTTTTTAGTGGCTATAACGTCGGCTCGGAGGGTCAGTGAATTGTGCGCTTTACGGGTTGATCCTCCTTATCTTAAATTCCATAGAGATAAGGTTGTATTGCGCACAGACATTGCCTTTCTTCCCAAAGTGTCTACAAATTTTCACATGTCTCAGGAGATAGTTCTACCTTCCTTTTTTCAAAACCCTACGACGTCTCTAGAAAAGGGTTGGCATTGCCTGGATGTTCGCAGGGCTCTGGCGTTTTATGTGGACAGAACCTCTGTAATTAGGAAAACGCCAAGATTGTTTATTAAGTATCGTAAGGACACAAGGGGGATGCCGGTATCTTCCCAGCGTTTTTCTTCTTGGGTGGTGTCCGCTATTCGGTTGTGTTACAAACTGTCGGGAAAGGATTTACCTCAACAGGTTAGAGGTCATTCGACCCGAGCGGTGTCAACGTCTGTTGCCTTCATGAGAGGCGTGCCATTGGATGCCATCTGCAGGGCTGCCATCTGGACGACGCCGTCTTCCTTTGTATCGCATTACAAGATGGATGTCGTGTCCAGGAGAGCAGCTGAGTTTGGGAGATCAGTCTTGTTCTCAGCGGTGGCATGACGCCCACCGTTCCAGGGTTAGTAGCTTGCTAGTCTACCATGTGTGCAATTCATAGTTGACTACGACAGGAAATTATAAGTTGCTTACCTGTAACTGTAGTTTCCTGAGTAGTCACCTATGAATTTGCACAACCCGCCCTTCCTCCCCTCGAGTGTCATGCCCCCGCTTTTCTGCTGCTAGGAAGAGAACTGAGGGGGCCTGGCCCCGCGTGGGCTATATATACTCGAGGGGGGAGGGGGGGCGGGGCCAGGCAATGTCATAAATGTCATCTTTTTATTCTAGAAGGTTCCGAAGTTGGATCTGCGCAGGCGCAGGAATACCATGTGTGCAAATTCATAGGTGACTACTCAGGAAACTACAGTTACAGGTAAGCAACTTATAATTATTACTCTTACTATCACATTTCCATTATTTTACTCTTTTATTATATTTATTACGTTTATTATTGTACTCTATTATTACTCTTACTATTACATTTCCATTATTTTACTCTTTTATTATATTTATTACGTTTATTATTGTACTCTATTATTACTCTTACTATTACATTTCCATTATTTTACTCTTTTATTATATTTATTACGTTTATTATTGTACTCTATTATTACTCTTACTATTACATTTCCATTACTTTACTCTTTTATTATATTTATTACGTTTATTATTGTACTCTATTATTACTCTTACTATTACATTTCCATTACTTTACTCTTTTATTATATTTATTCTGTTTATTATTTTACTCTTATTATTACTCTTACTATCACATTTCCATTATTTTACTCTTTTATTATATTTATTACGTTTATTATTGTACTCTATTATTACTCTTACTATTACATTTCCATTATTTTACTCTTTTATTATATTTATTCTGTTTATTATTTTACTCTATTATTACTCTTACTATTACATTTCCATTATTTTACTCTTTTATTATATTTATAACGTTTATTATTTTACTCTATTATTACTCTTACTATCACATTTCCATTACTTTACTCTTTTATTATATTTATTACGTTTATTATTTTACTCTATTATTACTCTTACTATTACATTTCCATTACTTTACTCTTTTATTATATTTATTACGTTTATTATTTTACTCTATTATTACTCTTACTATTACATTTCCATTATTTTACTCTTTTATTATATTTATTACGTTTATTATTTTACTCTATTATTACTCTTACTATTACATTTCCATTACTTTACTCTTTTATTATATTTATTACGTTTATTATTTTACTCTATTATTACTCTTACTATCACATTTCCATTATTTTATTCTTTTATTATATTTATTACGTTTATTATTTTACTCTATTATTACTCTTACTATTACATTTCCATTACTTTACTCTTTTATTATATTTATTCTGTTTATTATTTTACTCTTATTATTACTCTTACTATTGCATTTCCATTATTTTACTCTTTTATTATATTTATTACGTTTATTATTGTACTCTATTATTACTCTTACTATTACATTTCCATTGCTTTACTCTTTTATTATATTTATTACGTTTATTATTTTACTCTATTATTACTCTTACTATTACATTTCCATTATTTTACTCTTTTATTATATTTATTACGTTTATTATTTTACTCTATTATTACTCTTACTATTACATTTCCATTACTTTACTCTTTTATTATATTTATTACGTTTATTATTGTACTCTATTATTACTCTTACTATTACATTTCCATTATTTTACTCTTTTATTATATTTATTACGTTTATTATTTTACTCTATTATTACTCTTACTATTACATTTCCATTACTTTACTCTTTTATTATATTTATTATGTTTATTATTTTACTCTATTATTACTCTTACTATTACATTTCCATTACTTTACTCTTTTATTATATTTATTACGTTTATTATTGTACTCTATTATTACTCTTACTATTACATTTCCATTATTTTACTCTTTTATTATATTTATTACGTTTATTATTGTACTCTATTATTACTCTTACTATTACATTTCCATTACTTTACTCTTTTATTATATTTATTACGTTTATTATTGTACTCTATTATTACTCTTACTATTACATTTCCATTATTTTACTCTTTTATTATATTTATTACGTTTATTATTTTACTCTATTATTACTCTTACTATTACATTTCCATTATTTTACTGTTTAATTATATTTATTACATTTATTATTTTACTCTATTATTACTCTTACTATTACATTTCCATTATTTTACTCTTTTATTATGTTTATTACGTTTATTATTTTACTCGGTTTATATTCTGGTCGGCTTGAGTGTATACGATATATCCACATGTACTTATGCAAGGCACTTTGGTTTTTCAGTTGTTAGACTGATATCCTAGTTGTTCCAGCGAGTGTCTCTGTAGATCTTAGAAAACTATTTCTTGATTTAAGTCGTTGACGTGCTGGCTGATACCCAAACAGGGAATGAGCTGGAGATGTCTCTGCCTTGGTCCTTTCACTATTTATTTATTTATTTATTTATTTGGTACACTTGTATACCGCTAATTTCTCAGCCTGGATCGGCGACTCAATTGCGGTTTACAGCAGATTAAAAACAGTCTCCAATTTAAAACATATACACATACAACAACAAATTATTGGGCCACCAATAATAATCCCATATGTCTCGAGTTGAAATCACAGTCCAGAGATCGTTGTCCATATTTTCTGTCCATAGTCACCAAGAATCGATCGATTGCCACAGATTAGCCGAATGCTAGTTTGAACAGCCATGTTTTTAGTCTCTTCCTAAACACCATCAGTGAAGAGGCTGATCGTACCTCTATAGGGAGGGTGTTCCAAAGCCGGGGGGCCACCACAGAGAAGGCCCTATCTCTCGTTCCCGCCAGCCGCACTTCTGAAGCTGGAGGGATAGAGAGAAGGGACTCTCCGGAAGATCTTAGGGTCCTGGTGGGCTGATAGGCTGAGATACGTTCGGATAGATAAGTTGGGCCAGAACCGTTTAGGGCTTTAAAGGCCAACGCCAGCACTTTGAATTGGCTGCTACTTCCCGGCGGATGTCAGGTGGTGCAATACCGGCTAAGCAGTGTAATTTCTCCAGTGGTGTAGGGCGCAAACACCCCGTGATGATGTGGCACGTCTCATTAAGAGCCATATCCACCGGTTTTGCGTGGTGATATGTGTTCCACACTGAACATGCATATTAGGCAGCAGAGTAGCAAAGCACAAAGGCAGATGTCTTCACTGTGTCTGGTTGTGATCCCCAGGTTGTGCCAGTCAGTTTTTGTTTCATATTGTTTCTCGCACCCACTTTTTGCTTGATGTTCAGGCAGTGCTTCTTGTAGGTCAGAGCATGGTCCAAAGTGAGTCCCAAGTATTTGGGTGTGCTGCAATGCTCCAGTGGGATTCCTTCTCAGGTCGTCCTCAGAGCTCAGGATGCTTGTCTGTTCTTGAGATGAAAAGCACACATCTGTGTTTTAGATGGGTTAAGAATCAGCTGGTTTTCCCTGTAATAGGCAGTAAGAGCACGTAGAGCTTTTGTTCAACCATCTCAAAGCTCCCTGCTTGAGCGGTGATGGCACAATCATCAGCATAGATGAAACTCTCTGTCACTTCTGGCAGTGGCTGGTCATTTGTGTAGATGTTAAACATGGATGGAGCAAGCACGCTCCCCTGAGGCAGGCCGTTCTTCTGTTTCCGCCATCTGCTTCTCTGGCCCTGGAACTCAACAAAAAAGCTCCTGTTTTGTAGCAGGTTTCCTATGAGGCGGGTGAGGTGGTCGTCCTTTGTGATATTATACATTTTTCTCAGAAGGAGGCGGTGGTTCACAGTCTCATAGACTGCTCACAGGTCTATGAAGACCGCTCCTGTGATCTGCTGCCTTTCAAAGCCATCTTCTATGTGCTGAGTCGGGTTCAGCACTTGCGATGTGCAGCTTTTGCCTTTCCTGAAGCCAACTTGCTGTGGGATCAGACAGCGGTCTATTTTTTCCGTAATTCTATGCAAAATAAGTCTCTCCAGAACTTTGTAGAGGTGGCACAACAGGGAGATTGGTCTGTAGCGTTTGGGTCATGACAGTCTTTGCCTGGCTTAAAGATGGCGATGACTCTTGCTTTCCTCCAGATTTTGGGGATCTGACAGGATGCAGTGCAGTTGTTCATCAGCTCCAGGAGATGGTAGCAGGGTATAAATAAAGGATTATTATTATTATTATTATTATTATTATTATTATTATTATCTCTTTGCAATAAAAATTATACAGGGAAAAAATACTAACTCTTTTCACGTACTTATTGCTACTAAACAGCCACAACAATAATAATATTCCTCTTTGCCCAGGCCAGCAAATTCACTGAATATTCTCCAACATATCTTGAAGATAGTGACTGGGTATGTATTTCCCTTGTCTCTGTTCGTATGTAAAGTAAATACATGGTTATATCAACTTCTGGCTGCTTCCAATTGTGACACTTTTCCTTAGTTTGCAGGAGGGCTCCTACCTCTTGGCTCATGCGGCCGGGGACTCGTGTGTTTCCATCTATAAAAGCTCTCCAGACAAAGCCAACAGAAGGACGTACAACTTGCACGCGGCTCATTCCGACCTTCCTGGCGTCCCGGCGTCTCTTTCGGTCCCCTGGATCCCACTTGACCCCAGTGTCCCTTTACCGTATCACTTTGTCCAAGGGAGGGTCCCGTGCACGTTCCCTCCGATGCCGCCGCATGCCACAAAGAACCAGAAGGTGAGACTAGGATGACGACAAGGGAGCTCTAACCAGGGCTGCTTCGTGTTTTCAAACTCCTCTCTAAAATCAATGGGAAGTACATACTTCACAACGTGTCTTCCTCCATCCTAATAATAACAATAACAACAACAACACTGTGCATTTGAAATGTTTCTATTTTTTAAATTTTTATACTCATACTAGCTGTGGCCAACCTTCCCTCCCTTTTTCTCTCCTTCTTTCTTTCTCTCCTTCCTTCCCTCCCTCTTTCCTTCCTTCTCTACCTGTTTCTTTTCTCGCTTCCTTTGCTCTTTGGTTCCATTCTTCCTTGTCTCTTTCCTTCCTTCCTTCCCTCCCTCTTTCTCTCTTTCATTCCAACTCCTTCCTTCCGTCTTTCATTTATTTCATTCCCTCCTTCTTTCTATCCTTCCTTTCTTCTCTACCCTTCTTTCTTTCATTCTTTATCTCCTTCCCTTCTTCTTTCCCTTTTTTCTCCCTCCTTCTCTCCTTCCTTCCTTCTCTACCTTTCTTTCTCCCTCTCTCTTTCCTTCTTTATCTCCTTCCCTCCTTTCCCTCCTTCTCTCCTTCCTTCCTTCTCTACCCCTTTTTCCTGCCTTCTCTCCTTCCCTCCTTCTTTCCCTTCTTCTCTCCCTCCTTCCTTCTCTACCTTTCTTTCCTTCTTTCTCTCCTTCCCTCCTTCTTTCCCTTCTTCTCTCCCTCCTTCCTCCTTCCTTTCTCCCTTCCTTCTCTACCTTTTCTTTTCTCTTTCTTCTCTTTGGTTCCATCCTTCCTTTCTCTTCCTTCCTTCTCCCTCTTTCTCTCTTTCTTCCTTCTCTCCTTCCTTCCCTCTTTCACTTATTTCATCTCTCCCTCCTTCTCTCCTTCCTTCCTTCTCTACCCTTCCTTCTTTCTCTCTTTCCCTCCTTCTTTCCCTCTTTCTCTCCCTCCTTCTCTCCTTCCTTCCTTCTCTACCTTTCTTTCTTTCCTTTCCTTTCTTCTTTCTCCTCCTCTCTCCTTCTCTACCCTTCTTTCTTTCCTTCTTTCTCTCCTTCCCTCTTTCTTTCCCTCCTTCTCTCCTTCCTTGCTTGCTTCCTTCCTTCTCTACCCTTTTTTCTTTCCTTCCTTCTCTCCTTCCCTTCTTTCCCTTCTTCTCTCCCTCCTTCTCCCTTCCTTCCTTCCTTCTTCCTTCCTTCTCTACCTGTTTCTTTTCTCGCCTTCTTTGCTCTTTGGTTCCATCCTTCCTTGTCTTTTTCCTTCATTCCTTCCCTCCCTATTTCTCTCTTTCATTCCTTCTCTCCTTCCTTATTTCATTCTCTCTCTCCTTCTCACCTTCCTTCCTTCTCTAGCCTTTCTTTCCTTCTTTCTCTCCTTCCCTCCTTTTTTCCCTCTTTCTCTCCCTCCTCTCCTTCCTTCCTTCTCTACCTTTCTTTTTTTCCTTCTCCCCTTCTCTCCCCTTCCTTCCTTCTCTACCCCTCTTTATCTCCTTCCTTCCTTCTCTCGCTCCTTCCTTCCTTCTCTACCCTTCTTTCTTTCCTTTTTTATCTCCTTCCCTCCTTCTTTCCCTCCTTCTCTCCTTCCTTCCATCTCTACCCTTCTTTCTTTCCTTCCTTCTCTCCCTCCTTCTCTCCTTCCTTGCTATAATCCAGAAAGGCAACTTTTCCAAGCTCTGTTGAAGGATCACAGCGAGCAAGTCAACACAAGCCTGGGATTTAGTATTGCACACCGAGTTCCTTCTTTCCCACAGTTTGGTTAGCTTCCTTTCTGCTTGCATTACGCCCAGAAGAGACTGAGGATGGAGATATATATATGACAGAGAAGGAGGAGGAGAAAGAAGCCACCCACATACAATTATATGTTTACATCTGGAACATCAAAACAATGTTTTGTGAACCTTAGAGCTAATCATATTGTGTCAGATCGAAAAGTACAAAGTTCTTATTTTTTAAATGGAACCAGAAAGAGTTCTCCGTATTTATACAATTAAACTTTTCCAACTTGAGACCCCTTTTAGAGGCCGGGCTTAGCACAGCGGGTTAAACCTCTATGCTGCTGAAAATCCTGCCAATCAAAAGGTGTGAAATGAAATAATAATAATAATAATAATTTTTTACTGGCACAAGCAAGTAAAAGTGGTTGGCACACTGGGTGCAATGCCTAAAGACCTTGGCCTGCACTTAAACACAATTAGCGTTGACAAAATTACCATCTGCCAGCTGCAGAAGGCCACCTTACTGGGATCTACATACATTATTTGCCGATACATCACACAGTCCTAGACATTGGGAAGTGTCCAACATGTGATCCAATACAACAGCCAACAGAGTGTCTGCTGTGGACTCATCTTGTTGTGATTTGAAGAAGAGGTAGAAGAAGCAGAAGAAGAGGAAGAAGAAGAAGAAGAAGAAGAGGTAGAAGAAGAAGAGGTAGAAGAAGAAGAAGAAGAGGTAGAAGAAGAAGAAGAGGTAGAAGAAGAAGAAGAGGTAGTAGTAGAAGTAGAAGAAGAGGTAGTAGTAGAAGTAGAGGTAGTAGTAGAAGTAGTAGTAGTAGAAGTAGTAGTTATTACTATAATATACTAGCTTGGGGCCCCAGCACTGCCCGGGTTATTTGAGAAAGGAATTGTGTATCAAGGTTGGTTTTATATATATATATATATATGGCTCGCAGTGGTCTCAGGAAGTTAGTGGACCCATCATCTGTGGTCCATCCTCCCCCAAACCTCACCAGAATGTTGAGTTGGCCATGGGGGCACTCTGTGCCAAGTTTGGTCTTTATTGGTATTTGGATGTCGCTGTGTTTTCAGGAAGTGAGTGAAGGTACTGCAAGTCCCATCATCCATCGTCCGTCCTCCTCCAAACAGCACTGGGATGTAGAGTGGCTCATGAGGGCTCTGTGTGTCAAGTTTGGTCTTGATCAGTCATTAGATGAGGGTTGCAGCAGTCTTGGGAAGGGAGTGGAGGTACTTGAAGTCCCATCATCCATGGTCTGTCCTCGAAAGTGCACCAGGATGTAGGGTGGGTCACGGGGGCTCTGTGTGCCAAGTTTGGTCTTGGTCGGTCATTGGCAAGGGTCTCAGTGGTCTCAGGAAGTGAGTTCCATCATCCATCTCCAAATTGTTCCAAACCGCAGCAGGATATAGAGTGGGTCATGTAGTTATTCTATAATTATTATGATATATAGAGTGACATTATATATCTCCTATATATCTTTTATCCTTCTACTACCAAGTTTCTCTTCTATGAGGGGTTTGACCACATTAACCACCTTAACTGCTTATTTAACACTAGCTGTATCCGCCACGCGTTGCTGTGGCCAACCTTCCCTCCCTCTTTCTCTCCTTCTTTCTTTCTCTCCTTCCCTCCCTCTTTTTCTTTCCCTTCTTCTTCCTTCTCTGCCTGTTTCTTTTTTCTCGCTTCCTTTGCTCTTTGGTTCCATCCTTCCTTGTCTCTTTCCTTCCTTCCCTCCCTCTTTCTCTCTTTCTTCTTCTCCTCCTTCCTTCCTCTTTCCTTTTCTTCCTCCTTCTCCTTCCTTCTCTACCCTTCTTTCTTTCCTTCTTTCTCTCCTTCCCTCTTCTTTCTTTTTCTCTCCCCCTTTTCTCCTTCCTTCCTTCTCTCCTTTCTTTCTTTCCTTCTCTGCTTCTTTCTCCCCCTCCTCTTTCCTTCCTTCTCTACCCTTCTTTCTTTCCTTCTTCTCTCCTTCCCTCCTTTTCCCTCCTCTTTCCTTCCCTTCCTTCTCTACCCTTCTTTCTGTCCTTCTTTCTCTCCTTCTTTCCCTCCTTCTTTCCCTCCTTCCTTCCTTCTCTACCCTTCTTTCTTTCCTTTCTCTCCTTCCCTCCTTCTTTCCCTCTTTCTCTCCCTCCTTCTCTCCTTCCTTCCTTCCTTCTCTACCTTTCTTTCTTTCCTTCTCTGCTTCTTTCTCCCCCTCTCTCTCCTTCCTTCCTTCTCTACCCTTATTTCTTTCCTTCTTTCTCTCCTTCTCTCCTTCCTTCCTTCTCTAACTTTCTTTCTTTCCTTCTCTCCTTCTTTCTCCCCCTCTCTCTCCTTCCTTCCTTCTCTACCCTTCTTTCTTTCCTTCATCTCCTCCCCTCCTTCTTGCCCTCCTTCTCTCCTTCTTCTTTCCTTCCTTGCTTCCTTCTCTACCTTTTTTCTTTCCTTCCTTCCCTCCTTCTCTCCTTCCTTCCTTCTCTACCTTTCTTTCTTTCCTTCTTTCTCTCCTTCTCTCCCTTTCTCTCCCTCCTTCTCTCCCTCCTTCCTTCCTTCTCTACCTTTCTTTCTTTCCTTCTCTCCTTCTTTCTCCCCCTCTCCTTCCCTCCTTCTCTACCCTTCTTTCTTTCCTTCTTTATCTCCTTCTCTCCTTCTTTCCTTCCTTCTCTACCTTATTTCTTTCCTTCCTTCTCTCCTTCCTTCCTTCTCTACCCTTCTTTCTTTCCTTCTTTAACTCCTTCCCTCCTTCTTTCTCTCCTTCTTTCCTTCCTTCCTTCCTTCTCTACCATTCTTTCCTTCTTTCTCTCCTTTCCTTCTTCTCTTCCTCCTTCTCTCCTTCCTTCTCTACCTTTCTTTCTTTATTTCTCTCCTTCCCTCCTTCTTTCCTTCCTTCTCTCCCTCCTTCTCTCCTTCCTTCCTTCCTTCTCTACCTGTTTCTTTTCTCGCTTCCTTTGCTCTTTGGTTCCATATCTAGATATATGTGTCTCAGTTTTCAAATTCCGAGCTCTCCTGCCATTTTAGGGAGAAATCTCCTTTTCCCTGAAGTCATTTTCATGGGAGAGGAGGTGAATCGGAATATCATTGTGTCTCATCAGCCTTGTAATAGCTGAGTGTTTCCTTTATTGGACGTATTTATGAGAACGAGGAGGAGAAAATGCACCCTGTAAAGTCAGACTCCGGACATTCTGACTTGTCATAGATATCGGAAGAGGAGCCAAATAAATCTGGCCACGTCCCAGTGTCCCCTTATCTGTTGCAGCATGTTCGTCCGTGATGACTCTTAGGGTTTGCAATGCTTCCTCTGAGGGAGACGTGCCCGAGGTCACCAAGTTCCCATGACTAAGTGAAGGTGTTGAACCTTGGTCTCCCAAGTCGTAATCTAATAATTTAGTTGGTAAGTTCTATTCTGAATTTACCAGCTAATTTATGACACCATAAAAATCTCCAGCACACATGCAAAGAATGAGGAAGTACTTCATCAATGTCACAAATGGACGGTGAAGCGACAGCTCCCCCGGTGGCCAGAATACCCTCATGAAAAAGCAGGATTGTTAAGTAGCTTCTGTGTGTCTGTCTATATATGTTGTGTGTCTATGGCATTGAATGTTTGCCATGTATATATGTACATTGTAGTCCACCCTGAGTCCCCTGCGGAGTGAGAAGGGCAGAATATAAATACTGTAAATGAAGTGAATGAATGAACATGCTTACCACTCTTAGACTTCCCCTTCCATCCTTCCCTTCCACCCTTTTGTCCCTTCCCTCTTTCTTCCCTCTCCTCCTTCCCTCCCTCCCTCCCTCCCTTTGTTGTTTCTTTCCTTCTCTCTTTATCCTTCCCTTCCTTCCTTTCATCCTTCTCTTCATTCCTTTCTTCCTTCTCTTTTTCCTTCCTCCTTCCCTCCCTTTTGCCTTTCCTTCCTTCTCTGTTTCCTTGCTCACCTCCTTTCCTTCCTTCCCTCCTTTCTCCTTCTGTCCTTTCCTTCCACCCTTTTGTCCCTTCCTTCTTTCTTCCCTCTCCTCCTTCCATCCTTCCTTCCCTTTGGTCTTTCTTTCCTTCTCTCTTTATCTTTCCCTTCCTTCCTTTCATCCTTCTCTTCATTCCTTTCTTCCTTCTCTTTTTCCTTCCTCCTTCCCTCCCTCCCTCTCTTTATCCTTCCCTTCCTTTCATCCTTCTCTTCATTCCTTTCTTCTCTTTTTCCTCCCTCCCTCCCTCCTTCCTTCCCTTTGGTCTTTCTGTCCTCCTTTATCCTTCCCTTCCTTCCTTTCATCCTTCTCTTCATTCCTTTCTTCCTTCTCTTTTTCCTCCCTCCCTCCTTCCCTCCCTCCCTCCTTTCTTCCCTTTGGTATTTCTTTCCTTCTCTCTTCCTTCTCTCCTTCCTTTCTCCTTCTCTCTTTCTTTTCTCTTCCTTCTCTTTTTCCTTCCTCCTTTCCTTCCTCTCTCTCTCCCTCCCTTCCTTCCCTCCTTCCCTCCTTCCTTCCCTTTGGTCTTTCTTTCCTTCTCTCTTTATCCTTCCCTTCCTTCCTTTCATCCTTTTCTTCATTCCTTTCTTCCTTCTTTCTCTTTTTCCTTCTTTCCTCCCTCCTTTCTTCCCTTTGGTCTTTCTTTTCTTCTCTCTTTATCCTTCCCTTCCTTCCTTTCATCCTTCTCTTCATTCCTTTCTTCCTTCCTCCCTTCCCTCCCTCCTTCCTTCCCTTTTCTTTCTTTCCTTCTCTCTTTTCCTTCCCTCCTTTCCTTCTTCCTTCTCTTCTTCTTCTCTTTCCTTTTCCTTCCTTCCCCCTTTCAACCTTCCCTCCCTCCTTCCCTTCCTTCCTTCCTCCTTCCCTCCCTCCCTTCCTTCCTTCCTCCTTTCCTTCTTTCGCAATGCTTCTTATCTTTCTTTTCTCCTCTCGCCCTTAGGGTAAAGCACAGCCAGCGGGCACTCCTAGCCGCAGGGAGACGCTTCCCCTGGAAACAAACAACCACCCGCCGCCGACTCATCCTTTGCAAAAAAGACGTGGTGGTGCCATCGCAGAGAACCCGAGCGGCTGCACACAGGCCAATCCGGGGCCAAACTGGAAAGTCTGGAAGAAACCCAAGAATGAGATGACTTAGTCATGCAGCAGGAAAGAGGAGGTCTCTTTGCAGGGCAAAAAAATAAATATATTTAAAGGCACATGCAATATATAAAAATGGGTGGAAACTCAGGGCAGGAAGGATTCTTGATGTGAAACCCTTTTTTTATAGTAAAACTAGCCGTCCCCTGCCAGGCGTTGCTGTGGCCCAGTCTGGTGATCTGGAAAATAAAGTAATGAGAAAGTGTTGGTTTCTAATAGATGTAATGTCTTTCTGCTTTGTGGGTAAACAGTATTTCTTGCTGTTTCTTTGTCAGTGTTGATGTGGAGAGTGTCTGGTTTGCCCACTCTGGAACACGCAACATATCATTGTCCTTCTTTAAGGGTCCCTTTCAAATCTAGGATACTATATCTCTTTGTGTGAATCATACATATATATATATATATATATGGCTGGATGGCTCTTTGTCAGGAGGGCTTTGATTATGTTTTCTTGCCCTGGTGAAGGGAGTTGGACTGGATGGCCTTAATATTTTCCGTTGGTCATGGGGGTTCTGTGTGGGAAGTTTGCCCCGATTCTGTCATTCGTGGGATTCAGAATGCTCCTTGATTGTAGGTGAACTATAAATCCCAGTAAACACAACTCCCAAATGTCAAGATCTATTTCCCCCAAACTCCATCTGTGTTTATATTTGGGCATATTGAGTATTCGTGCCAAGTTTGGTCCAGATCCATCATTGTTTGAGTCCACAGTGCTCTCTAAATGTAGGTGAACTACAACTCCCAAATTCAAGGTCCACCAAACCCTTCTAGTGTTTTCTGTTGGTCATGGGAGTCCTGTGTGCCAAGTTTGGTTCAATTCCATTATTGGTGGAGTTCAGAATACTCTTTGATTGTTGGTGAACTATAAATCCCAGCAACTTCAACTCCCTAATGACAAAATCAATTTTTTTGAGGACATGCATTGAGTTGTTAGGTATCTTGTGTCCAAATTTGGTGTCAATTCCAGTGGTTTTTGAATTCTTTTAATCCTACAAACGAACATTACATTTTTATTTATAGAGATGATGTTGTTGTTTATTGTCCGCAATTTCGGTTTGTGTTTTGGTTTTCTTTATTGTAATTGTTGTTTGGGCATGGCCTCATGTAAGCCGCTCTGAGTCCCTATTGGGGAGATGGTGGCGGCGTAACAAATAAAGTTTATTATTATTATTATTATTAAGCTCTATGAAAAGATAAGAAGTCTCAGAGAGCTCGTGTTTCTATTGGCAAGGCATTCCACAGGTAAGGAGCCACCACCGCCTAGTAGACATCAAGTGAAAGATCCTAAAATTGGGAACTTCCCGCTGGAGCAGTACCTATTGATCTACTTACTTTTGCATGTTTTCAAATTGCTAAATTGGCAGAAGCTGGAGCGAACAATGGGAGCTCACCCCACTCCCTGGATCCGAACTGCCGACCTCTTGGTAAGCAAGTTCTGCAGCTCAGTGATTTAACCTGCTGCACCAACGAGTGCTCCTTACTTAAGGTATATTAAGACCTCTAGATCCATGGGCTTTTTCTATTATTATTATTATCATCATCATCACAAATCATCTATCGGACAGATGGCAAGCTATTCAACCTCAGCAGACTGAAAGCCAAAACCAAGGTTACAACAACATGTTATAGAACTCCAGTATGCTGATGACAATGTCGTCTGTGCGCATTCAGAAGAAGAACTACAAGCCACTCTAAACACCTTCGCAGAAGCATACAAGAAGCTAGGCCTGTCATTGAACATCGAGAAAACCAAAGTGCTGTTCCAGCAGTCGCCAGCCAATCCCTCTCCAATGCAGGAATACAGCTTAATGGTGTAACATTAGAAAATGTGGACCATTTCCGCTACCTTGGCAGCCACCTCTCCACCAAAGTCAACATCGACACCGAAATACAACACCGCCTGAGCTCTGCAAGTGCAGCATTTTCCAGAATGAAGCAGAGAGTGTTTGAGGACCGGGACATCCGTAGGGATACCAAGATGCTTGTCTATAAAGCTATTGTCCTCCCAACCCTGCTCTATGCCTGTGAGACGTGGACTGTCTACAGACGTCACATGCAACTCCTGGAACGATTCCATCAGTGCTGCCTCCGGAAAATCCTGCAAATCTCTTGGGAAGACAAGCGGACAAACGTCAGCGTGCTGGAAGAAGCAAAGACCACCAGCATTGAAGCGATGGTCCTCTACCATCAACTCCGCTGGGCCGGCCACGTTGTCCGGATGCCTGACCACCGTCTCCCAAAGCAGTTGCTCTACTCCGAACTTAAGAACGGAAAACGGAACTTTGGTGGACAGGAAAAGAGATTTAAAGATGGGCTCAAAGCCAACCTTAAAAACTCTGGCATAGACACTGAGAACTGGGAAGCCCTGGCCCTTGAGCGCTCCAGCTGGAGGACAGCTGTGACCAGCAGTGCTGCAGAATTTGAGGAGGCACGAGTGGAGGGTGAAAGAGAGAAACGTGCCAGGAGGAAGGCGCGTCAAGCCAACCCCGACCGGGACCGCCTTCCACCTGGAAACCAATGCCCTCACTGCGGAAGAAGATGCAGAGCAAGAATAGGGCTCCACAGCCACATACGGACCCACAAGGAAATCCATAATGGAAGACCATCTTACTCGTCCAACGAGGGATCGCCTAAGTAAGTAAGCAACAAGAGCTCACTTTGCTCTTTGGATTTCTGCTCCTTGGATTCAAACACCAACCTTTCGGTCAGCAACAAGTTCGATTTGTTGCATAATGTAATTGTAATACTGTGAACCACGGCCTCCTCCTGAGAAAAATGTATAGTATCACACAGGACGACCACCTCACCCACCTCATAGGAAACCTGCTACAAAACAGGAGCTTCTTTGTTGAGTTCCAGGGCCAGAGAAGCAGATGGCGGAAACAGAAGAACGGCCTGCCTCAGGGGAGCGTGCTTGCTCCATCCATGTTCAACATCTACACAAATGACCAGCCACTGCCAGAAGGGACAGAGAGCTTCATCTATGCTGATGATCATGCCATTACCGCTCAAGCAGGGAGCTTTGAGATGGTTGAACAGAAGCTCTCCGAAGCTCTAGGTGCTCTAACTGCCTACTACAGGGAAAACCAGCTGATCCCCAACCCATCTAAAACACAGACATGTGCCTTTCACCTCAAGAACAGAGAAGCATCCCGAGCTCTGAGGATGACCTGGGAAGGAATCCCACTGGAGCATTGCAGTGCACTCAAATACCTGGGAGTCACTCTGGACCGTGCTCTGACCTACAAGAAGCACTGCCTGAACATCAAGCAAAAAGTGGGTGCTAGAAACAATATCATACGAAAGCTGACTGGCACAACCTGGGGATCACAACCAGACACAGTGAAGACACCTTGCGCTGTGCTACTCTGCTGCTGAGTATGCATGCCCAGCGTGGAACACATCTCACCACGCTAAAACAGTGGATGTGGCTCTTAATGAGACATGCCGCATTATCACGGGGTGTCTGTGCCCTACACCACTGGAGAAATTACACTGCTTAGCCGGTATTGCACCACCTGACATCCGCCGGGAAGTAGCAGACAATAGTGAAAGGACTAAGGCGGAGACATTTCCAGCTCATCCCTTGTTTGGGTATCAGCCAGCACACCAACGACTTAAATCTAGACATAGTTTTCTAATATCTACAGAGACACTCGCTGGAACACCCCAGCAAGGAAGAGTTCAAAAGTGGCAGGCTCAAACCCAGCACCTCAATCCGTGGGTGATACCAGATGAGAGACTCCCCCCTGGGCACACAGAAAACTGGGTGACTTGGAAAGTGCTGAACAGACTGCGTTCTGGCACCACGAGATGCAGAGCCAACCTTCAGAAATGGGGCCACAAAGTGGAGTCCACGACATGCGAGTGGGGAGAAGAGCCAACCACTGACCACCTGCTGCAATGCAACCTGAGCCCTGCCACATGCACCATGGAGGACCTTCTTGCAGCAACACCAGAGGCACCCCAAGGGGCCAGATACTGGTCAAAGGACATTTAATCAACTACCAAGTCTGCAAAATTTGTTGTTTTTTTTATTTTTTATCTGTTTGTTTGTTTTGTTCTGTTAGAAATGTAATACAATGTTCTGGTTGCGGATGACACGATAAATAAATAAATCGTAATACTAAATTATTTTGTTACCTTCTCCTCTTAGCTTCAATGTGTCAGGGTTGTTGTTTTTTTAATGCAGTAACTTAAATTGCCCCAGAGGCGAAATTGCAAAAAAAAAATGTCCTTTTTGAATTGGCTTTGCTTTCACCCCATGTGTTCCGTTGATGTTGCGGTTTTGTTCTGTGTTTCCTGTTCACCGGTTGCGGACAATATTGCTTTTTTTGGGTGGTGCAATGAAGAAACTAGTGAGCCTCTTTAAAAAGCCAGAGTGGGAACCATGCAACCCATGAGCTTCAGGTAGCCTTTTTGGGGTTCAGTGAGTCCCTTGCTGCCCAAATCCTCACCACAAAAAATACTGTATTGTCGAAGGCTTTCATGGCCGGAATCACTGGGTTGTTGTAGGTTTTTTCGGGCTATATGGCCATGTTCTAGAGGCATTCTCTCCTGACGTTTCGCCTGCATCTATGGCAAGCACCCTCAGAGGTTGTGACGTGTGTTGGAACTAAGAAAGTGGGTTTATATATCTGTGGAATGACCAGGGTGGGACAGCTGCCTACCCTGGATGGCGAGGCGCTACACCCGTCATCATTGGTAAAGAGTCGGGGAGTCCTTAGCAGAACTGCCTTCTTTCACCTGCAGCAGGCTAGACGGCTGGCCCCCTCCCTGTCCAGGGACGACCTAGCTACGGTAATCCAGGCCACGGTCATCTCAAGACTGGACTACTGTAACGCCCTCTACATTGGCCTTCCTCTGTCGGTGATCCGGAAGCTCAAGTTGGTACAAAATGCAGCTGCTCGGCTTCTTGCGGGAATTCCAATGAGATGCCACATCACCCCAATCTGACTGCAGCTGCATTGGTTACCCATTGAGCACCGGATCACTTTCAAAGTGATAGTACTCACCTTGAAGGCCTTGAATGGTCTGGGGCCGATATACCTGAGGGACCGCCTCACCCCCTCCCAACTCCAGAGATCCCTCCGTTCTGAGGACCAAGATCTATTGGAAGTTCCCAGTGTCAAGACCTTGTGTCTAACAGCAACCAGACGCAGAGCCTTTATAGCAGTGGCACCATCGCTCTGGAATACTCTGCCACCTGAAGTCCG